CACTTTGTCCGAGCTCCAGCGTTGCTCTGTGGAGGAGGAGAACCTTCCAGAAGGACAACCATCTCTGCAGTATTCCACAAATCAGGCCTGTATGGTAGAGTGGCCAAATGGAAGCCGCTCCTTAGTTTAGAGTTTGCCAAAAGGCACCTGAAGGACTCTCAGACCATGAGTAAAAACATTCTTTAGTCTGATGAGACAAAGATTGAACTCTTTGGCGTGAATGCCAGGCCAATACCATCCCTACAGTGAAGTATGGGGGTGGTAGCATCATGCTGTGGGGATGTTTTTCAGCTGCAGGAACTGGGGGACTAGTCAAGATAGAGGGAAAGATGAACACAGCAATGTACAGAGACATCCTGGATGAAAACCTGCTCCAGAGCTCTTGACCTCAGACGGGGCGACGGCTCCTCTTTCAGCAGGACAACGACCCTAAGCACACAGCCAAGATAACAAAGAAGTGGCTTCAGGAACACTCTGTGAATGTCCTCGAGTGGCCCAGAGCCCAGACTTGAATCCAATTGAACACAGACACTCCCCATCAACTTCGGCCGACTGATATCTGGACTCTCAACTACAACAAGCCTCACACTTATACAGCCCCCCCTTTACCCAGCCCACATTGGCGAAGAGTTTATTTCCATAATAATAACGTCCATGTTTTATCCAGAACATACTGTGTCTTATCCAAACTGTCTTGTAAAATGTATGTTACTGCTCTCTGCTGTTTATTCTTCTGTTTGTCGTATGGCGCCGTGGCAAGAGCTCTGGTGGTGCATACTGGGGTAGTCTTGCACAGTTTTTCCAATGTGGTTTTACTGCAAATGGCAAATAAATACATCTGAATCTGACTTGATGGAGCTTGAGAGGTGCTGCAAAGAGGAATGGGCCAAAACTGCCAAGATTGTGGTATCATAGTTAAAGAAGACTTTAGGCTGTAATTGCTCCAAAGGTGCATCAACAAAGTATTAAGCAAAGGCTGTGAATACTAAAGGTGCATTTTATTATAATGATGCTACTAGGGCCTTTGTCAGGAGCAGTAGTCACTGTAGTACTGCACCCAGGACCCAACTCTAGATGTTGGTCAGAATCAGAGCTGGAGGATTTCACCTAGACTGGAGCACCCGGAGGAAACCTACACAGGCACTGGGAGAAAAAACTACACCCAAAAAGGCCCTGTTCAGTCCAGGATTCGAACCCAGGATCTTCTTGATGAGACGTAGGGAGTTGTCTGTGTTTATGTGCGCAAAAAATTGTCTAGTCAGGTCAAGTTTGAGTACAACATTTCATCTTTTTGTTCACAAAGTGTAAACTGTATGTCAGTTCTTACTTGCGTGGGTCACAAACTGTGCTGTGAGCAAAGATTTATTCTCGTAGAGAGAGGCGGTGAATGTGGGGTCACACCTGCATTGTACTCGAGTAAATGTGTATTCATGTGGAGGGGGTGGGGGTGGGGGGTCACATACTTTGATGTGAGAAAAGATTTGTTCTCTTGGAGGAAGGAGGTGGGATCAGAAAATGTATGAATTTTGCATAGTTTTACCTATTTAGTGTAGTTTTATATTGCTGGGTCAAAAATGACCCTAACACCACAGTCCTATTTTTCTGCCGATACTTTCGGAAATGTCAAAATTGTAAACGTTTTTCTGCGTTTGTATACGTGTTGTGGAGGATGTCATTAACCATGAAGCGGGTCGCTGGAGACCCTAACAGAACATAAGAGTTAAGCTTATGTATTCAGTCATTATTCAATGGTGAACTAAAATCCATGTGAAAAAAATATTTATATGTGATTAAAATGTGATTCATCGAGATTAATTAATTACAAAGCCTCTAATTAGATTTTTTGTTTTTTTATCGAGTCCCAGCCCTAGTTTTTATATATTTTTCCACACATTTAGTGCCACTTTATTGCCAAACTCTTGTTAACTCATTGTATTGAGAAATATGTGGGCAAGTAACTTTTGACATTGGGCAAGTAAAATATAAATGGTACTTGTGGCTGACAAACCTTAATGTCAAGGCCTGTCAGGGTACACAGTACCTCCTATCTGCCATTTTTCATTGTTTCGATTTATGATACTAAAGATAAGTAGTATAAAGTGAACACCACTAAAGAATGTACAGATTCTAAAATAATTGTAATATAGTGTTGTTAAAGCTGCATTACCTCACTTTATTTTTGTATTCTGTAAAAAAAACCTATTGATGCAGTGCATTGGGATAAACGTCCTTTTGAAGAATAAGTAGCGCAGGTTTGTGATGGCGTGACATATTTTAGATCGAGTTTTTGTGCAACAAGGAAGAGAATTTGTTTCGGGTCCAGATTGTGACCAATCACAGCGGACCACTGGCCCCCACTTTCTTGAAAAGCCACAGGTCGCTTGTTAGCACAAACAGCAGAGGTAAACAAGCGGCGGAGGCAAACCTGAAACGTCCCGTGTCTTCGTTGCCTGTTACTGCTTACTCAGCGAAACCGCCAAAAGAGAGTCTCGTTCCTCTGCGCTTTCCCGGTTTAATCATTCTATGGTCACGCCATCCACGTGCAAATGTGCGATCCATATTGTGAGACGTGAGCTCCGTAAACGGCACATGTGCGGCTGAGTGGGGGGCGAAAGCTCCTTGAGTGTGGGGAGGGCAAGCAGAAGAGCGAGGCCAGCACTCACATTCGAAAATTTCACAAAGTGAGTTAGTGCAACTTTAAATCAGCCTTATTTAAAATATGTATGATGCTTTTTGTCCTCTACCTCCTGACTACCATTTTACCCAGTTGCTTACAAAGTCCAATGTTCCCTAACCCTATCCCATGAATAATCTGTTAAAGTATTTGTGGACAGCACTAGGGAGGCCAAGTTGTTTCAGGATAAAAGAATAGTGTGGTTTATTGTAGCGAAAGCTGCACTTAGATCCAGTAGAACCAACACTGTCACATTTTAGGAATGTGGTTCACACTAAAACCTCACTGACTTTTTTCTATAATGTTTGGTATTGCACCCTTATTATGAAAGATGGGGGGGGGGGAAGTACAACATTTGTTCATACACATTCTAGAAAAAGAAGTGTGTTCTTAGTCATCAATATCCAAATATATTATCCTATCCGACATTATATTATCTGACATCTCTCTTTGTTGTGTTTGTGGCAGATCTACAAAGTCCATCGTCAGAATGGTGTTCACCTGTGACCAGTGTGGAAAGACCTGCAGCTGTGCTTCACATCTCAAGATCCACAGCAGAATCCACACTGGAGAAAAACCATACGAGTGTGGTCTGTGTGGAACAGGTTTTACTATAAAAGCACATCTAAAGAGCCACAGTAGAATTCACACTGGAGAAAAGCCCTTCAACTGTGATGTTTGTGGTCAGCGTTTTAGACGTGAAAATACTCTCAAAAATCATCAGAGGATTCACACAGGAGAGAAACCATTTGAATGTGACCAGTGTGGGAAAACCTTTAGGACCAAACAGCTGCTCTCACTACATCAGCCTGTCCACACAGGAGAGAGACCTCACCAATGTGACCAGTGTGAGAAGACTTTTACACGTTTTGTTAACCTCACTGAGCACTACAGAATCCACACTGGAGAAAAGCCATTCATCTGTGGAGACTGTGGGAAGGAGTTTGCTGCGTCTTCTAGCTACAAAAGTCATGAGAGAATCCACACTGGAGAAAAACCATACAAGTGTGACCTGTGTGGACACTGTTTTTCTCAAGCAACACATCTCAAGAGCCACAGCAGAATCCACACTGGTGAGAAGCCCTTCAGCTGTGACGTTTGTGATCAGAGTTTTACTCAGAGAACTCATCTCAAACGTCATCAGAGGACCCATACAGGAGAGTCAAATCTTGGTAAACACATGGAAACTTGTCCAGAACCAGGTCTGAAGACAAAACATGTGGAACAAAGTGAAGGAGACTGATATTGGAATGTAACTTAAGTTATAACTTTCAATCAATTCAATCGTTTGTGGCTTGATTATATGCTGAATGCTAAATTATATTGTCTGTATTGTAATTCACTTTGGCTTCAGTCCGTCTGGGCTTAGTTTGCAGTCTGTCGTCGTAGTGTGTTACTGATGGTAACCTTTGTTACTTTGGTCCCAGCACTCTGCAGGTCATTCACCAGGTCTATTGCCAAACTCTTGTTAACTCATTGTATTGAGAAATATTTGGGCAAGTAACTTTTGACATTGGGCAAGTAAAATATAAATGGTACTTGTGGCTGACAAACCTTAATGTCAAGGCCTGTCAGGGTACACAGGTTCTGGGATTTTTGATCATTGTTCTAATGATCATTTTGACCCCACAGGATGAGATCTTGCGTGGAGCCCCAGATCGAGGGAGATTATCAGTGGTCTTGTATGTCTTCCATTTTCTGATAATTGCTCCCGCAGTTGATTTGTTCACACCAAGCTGCTTGCCTATTGTAGATTCACTCTTCCCAGTCTGGTGCAGGTCTACAATTATTTTCCTGGTGTCCTTCGACAGCTCTTTGGTCTTGACCATAGTGGAGTTTGGAGTCTGACTGTTTGAGGCTGTGGACAGGTGTCTTTTATACAGATAACCAGTTCAAACAGGTGCCATTAATACAGGTAACGAGTGGAGGACAGAAGAACTTCTTAAAGAAGTTGTTTTACTTACTACTACTACTACCAAATACTTATTTTCCACCATACTTTACAAATAAATTCTTTAAAAATCCTACAATGTGAATTCCTGGATTTATTTCACATTCTGTCTCTCACAGTTGAAGTGAACCTATGATGAAAATTAGACCTCTGTCATTATTTTAAGTGGGAGAACTTGCACAATCGGTGGCTGACTATGCCCCACTGTGTATATGTATAATATATATATATGGGAGGATGACAGCCGGGTAGCATTGGAGTAGCATCTCTGAGACTGTGCTCCCATCGGACCTTGATAAATACAGCATTTAAAAACTAATAGAACCAACAAAAGAGTTAACTCCGGCTATTAAGTCTGTTTGTGCGTTGAGGGATATGAGGCGAAGCTCACGGAAAGGAGGAAATAAGCAACTATCTCAGACGCAAAAGTCCATAGCATCCTACACCGTGGGCAAGGATAAAATGGCGGACGTGGATTCCCCACAAAGTCTTGAAACCGCTGCTGTTTCTACACTTGATTTGGCAATTCTCCGCCATGAACTCCAGTCACACCGGGACGACATAAAGATGGATATTGGAACGCAGATTTTGGATCTCAAAGAGGACATTTCGTCCCTGCGCAATGATGCCAGAGCAGATATTAAAACCCTTCGTGAGGAGCTAACTGGTGAGCTAGCTAAACTTAGCAACAAACAAGCAGAGGCTACGCAGCAGATGGAAGACATGGGGAACACGCTAAGCGACACGATCGATAGTCGCCGCATAGGAGCACAACCAGCAGCTTATGACCAAGAAATGCAAGACTCCAAGAAAAATGCGCAGACCTCTCAAACAGGAGCCGGAGACGTAATCTGAGGTTCGTTGGGGTTGCGGAGGACTCGGAGAAGGGGAATATGCTTACGTTTCTGCCAGTGTTTATTCGGGAAATACTGGGACGCGAAAACTTTGATTCTCCCCTGGTAATTGACAGAGCCCATAGAAGTCTCGGTCCGAAGCCCGCTTCTACAGACAGACCACGCTCGATAGTGGCTTGTTTTCACTACTTTTCGGATAGACAGAAAATACTAGATCTAGCCAAAGCCAAGGGAAAACTTTTGTATGACGGGCGACAGGTGCACATCTTCCCTGACATGACTCCTGAGGTGGGAAAGATGCGCGCAGCCTTCAACGACATAAAGAGAAAGCTCCGCGATGGAGTGTCATACAGCCTCTTTTTCCCTGCGAAGCTGGTTGTCACAGTGAAAGGAGAAAGACATTCATTTGACTCACCTCAGGCAGCCGAGTCCTTCTACCAACAACATGTGAAGTAAGACTGAATAATGTCGCCTAGCTCATCACTACTACTCGGGGAGAGGAGCGCGGACCTGATTGGTATGGCTTGTGAATGACTTTTGTGTTTGTTTTTTCTTGGGGCTGATATGAGCCAAGTTTAGCGATTGATGTAAATACAGTTGGGGTTTTTTCCTAGTTTAATGTATGATACACGACGGTATCAGGTTCAAAAACTCATAATTTAAATGCTGTTAACATAATTTAGTTTCTAAAAACGGAGTGGTAGTGTTTTCCTTTTTTTTTTTTTACCACTTTGCTGGGTTGCATTCAGCAACATGAGTAGTTTGCTGTCAAAGCTGTTTTCCCTAGCACTCGTTTGGGGAGTGTCTGAGGGAGGGGGAGGGGTTATTTGTTCTCATGAATGTTTTTGTTTTTTTCTTTAGTAGCACAGACTTTATTCTAGTGGATACATTTTTTCACTTAACATGCTGATGTGGACCATACATTTTTTGTTTAATTTATGCTATGGCAGATAAGGAAACTTTAGTGAAATGCTTGTCCTGGAATTGTAAAGGCCTGAATGGTACATTGAAACGGAATAAGATTCTCAACCACATCAATGCACTTGGGGCAAGTATTATGTTTTTAAAAGAGACCCACCTCAAAAACCGTGATCATACACACTTACGCAAAACTTGGATTGGGCACATATACCACTCAAGTTTTAACCTAAAGTCTAGGGGTGTGGCTATTTTGATTAGGAAGAATACATCTTTTGCTCTGACTCCATTTTAGAGCCACAAGGTAGATATGTGATAGTAACTGGGAAACTCTGTAATGTACCAGTTATTCTGGCTAACATATATGCACCCAATCATGACGACGAACACTTTATACGGTCTATAATATCATCCCTTCTGGATATACACAGTCATAGTCTGATTATGGGCGGCGATTTCAACTTTGTGCTTGACCAGTTACTTGATAGATCATCAAATAAACAACAGAGTTTGACCAAATCTGCTAAATTGATGAAGCAATTTTTAAAATCTGCTGACTTAGTAGACCCATGGAGGCACATAAATCCCACTAAGCGTGAATATTAATTTTTCTCCCCGCGGCATAATTCTTACTCGAGGATTGATTTTTTTTTTTTTTTTTGACATTCTAAATTGTTACCCATAATCAAAACAATACAATATGAGGCTATAGTGCTGTCAGACCACGGACCATTAATATTAAATCTTTCATTCCCTAAACTGAATGGATCCAAAAATTGGAGAATGGATAACAGGAGTTTGGCAGAAGAGTCATCCAGGCAGTATATTAAATCTCAGATATCTTTCTATTTTGAAACAAATGATTCCACAGAAATTTCAAGGGAAACTCTTTGGGAAGTAATGAAAGCTTTTATTCGCGGTTAAATGATATCTCAGAGTGCATTAAAATATAGGAAGGAAAAACAGGAGAAACAGTTAATAACTGAACAAATTCAAACCTTGGATCACCAGCATGCCACCAACCCAGAGCCAGATATTTTGGCTAAACGTATTGCTCTGCAGGCTGAATTCAATTTGTTATCCTCAGCTTCAGCAGTGAAATTAATAAAAGAAACAAAACATTGATTCTATGAACATGGGGAAAAACCCGGCCGACTACTTGCTCACCAGATTAAAGTTATGGAGGAGAAAAAACACATTTTAGAAGTAATAACAAATCTGGGCACTTTAACTACTGACCAACGAGAAATAAACAGGCAATTTAAAAAGTTTTATGAAGATTTGTGCTCATCTGAAGTTGAAGGGGATATTACTCTGTTAAATAATTTTTTCAATGATCTACCCATTCCCTTAATAACTCAGAAATCTAAAGACGAGTTGGAAAGTCTTATCTCTCTAGATGAGGTTAAACGGGCAATCAAAGCTTTACAGACATCAAAGGCACCTGGTCCTGACGGTTTTACAACTGAATTTTATCAATCTTTTGTTGATGAGCTGGCTCCCAGGTTACTCCAAGTTTATAACGAATCATGACTCTTGGTAAACTCTCGCCAACATTTTATCAAGCAACTATTTTTGTCATCCATAAAAAAGATAAAGATAAAGGCCAATTAGTCTTTTGAATGTAGATGTTAAAATCCTGGCCAAAATATTAAAGACCTTATGCCGGGTTTGATTTATTTAGAAATGCAGTTTTAATACCATTTTATATTAGAAGAGAACTACTAAAGGTTTCAAAATCATTTTTTTTTTTTTGTCTGATCCCCCCAAATCGAAATAACCCCATAGCAACGCCCTTAGAAACGAAAAAACTTCACAGCCCTTGGTGATGTCAGAACGGGTACGTTTCAACGCTGTAAGTTGTTTACAATTTGGTATTCGTTCTTTTTTCGCGGATATTCAAGATGACAAGGCCGTGTACAGCGAGTGTGAAATTATTACTAGATTGTAACACTTCGTTGTCACTGAGATAGTCCAGAGGTTGTGTCGATGGACTGCCAATCCAGATGCTGGGGTTCAAATCCTACCTCAGACACTTTTTCACTCTCAAAACAGCAATTTATGTGTAGTGAGCAATTGTCACCTGTAGAGGGCAGTATTGTGTTGGGCATCAGTGGAGAGAAGAGAGAAAAGGCAGTCCTGTGGCATAGATCCATGGTTTTCAATGCATGGGCGTTACCCGCTGTGACGTCACACACAGGTTAGAGCATAGACAGCTTAAATTCATGAAAAACACGTTCTTTTTATAAAATATAGGATTTTTTTTGTCGGAATCTATTTCAGATCGACATTGTCATGCAATTTTGATATCCACAATTTTTTTTTTTTTTAAACCCGGCATAAGGTTTTTAAGTAATCGACTGGAAACTGTGCTACCCACAATCATACATGAAGACCAGAATGGTTTCATGAAAAACAGTTAACCCATAATTTAAGACGTCTTTTCAATATTATCTATACAAGCAATGCACAAGCTCAACCTGAATTGCTCATCTCTCTAGACGCGGAGAAGGCCTTCGACAGGGTGGAGTGGTCCTACCTCTTCTTCGCCCTGTCAAAGTTTGGATTTGGAATTCAGTTTGTTGCTTGGCTGAAACTACTGTACGCCTCCCCTGTTGCTTCCATACAAACCAATAACATCAGGTCAGAGTACTTCCCTCTAACTAGGTCTACTCGACAGGGCTGTCCGTTGTCGCCCCTACTGTTTGCAATTGCAATCGAACCTCTTGCCATTTCACTTCGTATGATGCAGAACTATTCTGGCATCACAAGAGCAAACTATGAGCATAAGGTATCGCTCTATGCTGATGACCTTCTCCAATTGACCAGATGCATCAACGTCATCCAGTCACGTGATTGTGAATGAGCTTACGGCGGAAGTATTGTGTAGGATAAATTAAAATGACCTCTTTCCTCAATCAAAGACATTTTGTTGTATATTGAGACATATTATAACTTCTGTCTCCACTGTGTGTAAATCCTTGTGGTTCAGGTTTTATTGTGGGTAAGAATGTTTTAAGATAAGTGCCATGGCAACACCCTTCCCCCAACGACTCTACAAGAGGGAAGACAAACCAGTCTGCTTTGGAACCACGGAGTGACCAGACCTCCCTGGGCTCTGCTCTGGGCTCTGCTCAGGCAACCAAGGGGCTTTGGGCCTCTTAGACGGCCTCAAACCTCAGCTCCACGTCTGAGAGGACTTCCACAACCCTTCAATAGCCTCCAGCTTCAACCTGAAGAAGTTGCTGAGTTTTGGCACCTAGACTGTGGATCGTGGGAGGACTTGGTTCAGCCACATGATACAGCCGCATGGTCCAGGCCCCGTGGACAAGAAGCCTCCATCCACCACCATCAAGACCCAAGGACTGCTATTCAGCAAAGGCTATTCTGGTTGTATGATCTGCTCTCTTGCTACACACAGTTGTTGGCTTTATTAAAACCTATACTTCAAAGAATACTTCTCCTACCAAGGCTGAACACATGCAGGCCTCAGCCTATACCAATCCATTCATAGACAAAGGTCTTGCTTAGCTCACTTTAGCCTAGCATTTTAACAATGTATCTTGAAATCAACGTTTCCTTCATGTTATTCTTGACAATTTGCATATTTCATATCTAGTCTGTATTGTGTATACTTCATTAAATCTACAAAACCATCTTTGTCTGAAAGTGATATTTGTACTTTTAACTCCAGAAATTGGGTCACTGATTTGTAAAAGAATTCACTACCTTCAGATTCTATTGAAGAGAATTGGACTAATTAGCTAATTAAATAATGAAAGGACTCATGAGATTACTTAATCAATAAATGAGCCAATTAATTGATATTGTGACGTCATATGCACATTATCAGTTGGGAGTTATTCCCTGGTGCCCCTAAATAAAGCTATTATCAATTGTATTTATTACATGGTTTTTATCCAATTCTCCGATATCAGGTACATAACTTAAGTTATGTGTGATATCGACATTTTCTCACCCTACAATTGGAAACTAGCATTGCTGCTAGAGCAAAACGGACACAACTCTTAAAAACGGAGCTTCCTCTCCTAAATCGAGAAGTGGCTGCTTCAAGCAATGTTC